TTATTTTTCTCACCCAACAAGATTTGCTTACTGGAAATTTGTCCACTGTCTCCTGATTATATTTTAAAATGTGTCAGGGACTTTCTAGTCATTTCTAAGATGAGAATGAAAGCTAGCAGTTGCTACAAAATGGCTAAGTCATAGAACGAGGGTATTTAATTTGTGTATGACATACCTGCCCGAGCCTGGCTGTTTTTGTATAGCTGGAAATGAAATGAACACATTTTGGCAATTTGGAAATTTGAACTGCAGTTTCATTGAGGAAGCTAAATGGACCTGCTGATTTCATAATAAAGGCACGGAAACTTATTTCAAAAGATCAGGGGAAAGGTGAGAAGCCAAGACCCCCTCTTTTTCTTGAGGTTGAACTCCCAGTGTCACATCTGCTGCCTGGAGTCTGGGAAAATTTCCTAGAAAAAAACCAGGCGGTCTGTAAAATGTACCTTTTACACCACTCTGGAAAAGGTCAGCATTTTATTTTGAGAGAAGCACAGGTTAAAGAAAATCTTAATGCAATCTTCTATTTCAAAATTATCAAGTACAAAGAGAAGTTTCTTATTTTTGAGAAAGGTTTCAGTATGGAATCACCCAAAGAAAAGTAACTCATTCCTTTTCATTTTGAAATGAATTGTTCAGCAAGCCAACACAAGTCTTGTTATGCTCCAGAAATGTCAGGGACTTTCCCAAATAAATTATCTACTGCTTCTGAGATAAGAAGATGGCTTTCCCTTTTTAAATTTATTGCCACAAGTTTCACAATGCACAGTCTAAACTCTCAGTGATCCAAAATGTATCTATCACTAGGGGAAATTATGGTGAAAAGTCAGAGAGTGACCTTTTATTTTTCTTAATTACCCAAATGTAATAAAAAACACATGTAAAATAAGCCTGTAAGAAGAGATTATCTGCAGTAGCATATGTTCAGTGTTAGAAATCAATTGCAAAACACAGTGGGAGTATGTCATTATAGGAAATCACAACTTTAAAAAAGAAAGAAATGTAACTTAGTATATTCTGTATTAAAATAAAAATTCTCTTCGCTGTCCTGTCTGGCCATGAATATGCCTTTTATCCATCATAGGAGAAAGAGAAGGACCAGCTCTCTATAAATGCAACCTAAGTATTTGTCATTACAAGCAGATTTGGAGTCTGATGTTTCTTAGGTATTTTGTACAGCCTCGTTTATTTGTCATAAATGTCCATATTTTTAAGCTGTACCCATATGATTAGTTGTTTCTGTGCAGAAGCTAAGTCATCAAAGGATTGTCACATCACCAAAAGAAAGCAAAATCTGTGCATTCATTTGTTATTCATGTAATAAATAGTGACTATGTACCACCATCTGGACACAAGGACTGAAGAGGTCTAGGACGAAATAGGAAATAGGAAGCATGTTCCTATTTTGAAAGATATTAGTCTATCAAGGGGATGGATTTGTAACTGAATGATCAGTAGAGTGGGATAAATAGCACAAGGGACATACACAGAGGGTGCAGAAGCACTGAGGGAGGGTCACTGTGTTCGGACAAGTTCAGCAAAGCTTCACAGAAGCAGCAACAACTTAGGAGCCTCTGAAATATAAACAAGATTACAGGAACTGGGACAGAAACCGGAGCACTGTGACTGGGTGAATCCTCTGTGATGCATCCAACATCCCTGAACAGCACAGGGCATGCGTGGCATCCCCTGCTCCATGGGACTGGCATGCATAAAGCAGGTAACAGAGGGCAGGACTGAGATGTTAAGTGGACTTAAGTTTGTGGGTGCCTTCTGTAAGCCCACAGCCTATATATCCTGCTATACTTTGGCACTTGCTTTGATTAGAAATGTACAGGGCAATATTAACAATGTCTAACAAGCAGCATGGTATAGAGAAGGTGGGTCAGACCCTGTGCCCATCCTTATGGTTGCTGGAGCCTGGTTTCTGCCAGGGTTCCCGGGATGCAGGGTATCAGGTAGGGGCCGGCGCTACAGCTGTACCAACCACCTTGTTCCCAGCCACCATAATTTTTACTGTTGTCATGGCCCCTGCCACTGAGTGACTGCTCTGCCATCAGCCAATCCCGAAGACAACTAGGGACTCGCTCTTTAATGTCTGTCTCCACTGCACCCCCTGGTCAAACAGGATTTCATCCTTTAAAGACGTCTTGAGTAAATTACTCTCTCTTCTGTCCAATGCAGAGCAAACTCTAAAAAGCAAATCTGATCAATTCCACTGCCCCCATTAAAAATTCCAGGAAGAGGCCCTCCCTGGTGGCGCAGCGGGTTAAAGCGCAGCACTGAGAATCTAAAGACGCTTGCGCATGAGTTCGATTCCCGCCTGCCCCGGAAGTGACCACATGGCGTGGCAGACCTCTCCTGACCCGCCCGCTGCTCCCCTCAGCAGTGTACTTCGTCGATCTGCCTGTTCTGCTCCCCACTCTGTCTCTGGTGAAGCCTCTCGCCACCCCTGGGTCTCTGGCCTGTACCCCAGTTCTGTATGCACAAATAAATAAATCTTTAAAAAAAAAATTCCAGGAAGAGAACTCTAAGGGCTTCAATGGCCTGCTCCACACATGGACTCTTGTGATCTGGTCTCTGTGGCTTTTTAACCAATTCCTAGCTCTCCCCTTGCACACATGGCCCCCCCAATGTGGTTTAATCATGCTCTCAGGTGATGGTGTGGTGTAGATGTTTGCTGTGGTGGATCTCAGGCTTACCATAACCAGATAGGATGTACCTCACTACCCCCACTACCACAGCACCTCAGTGTACTTGCAGTGGTTGTTTCTGTTGAACATTGATAGGTGGGACACACTGGAACCATCCTAGAAATGAGATTGAGCTTTCTGTTTGTTTAGGTAATGGCTTTGAATGAACCCCTGAGATCAGGGAGGCAGAAGCATCCATGGTGATGAACAGATGATGATAACAGTCACTGAGGAGAACATGAATGACAGATTTCATGTATGTTCTAGATATAATTTGTTAGCAGGATCTTTGCGTCCATATCATTAGTAATTAGTAATAATTAGTAATAATATAGTGTCAGTATTTATCCTATTACAAATTGTATTCTCATGTGACACATATAAATTAGGTCTATATAAATAAAGTCTCTCAAGAGCTGTTTGTAAGGTACAGAGCTGTGTGAACTGCACAGTGTTAACAAACAACAAATAGGTTCTCCCCCCCCCAAAAACTTACAGTCTGATGAAAGGAACAGAAAATAAAAAAGTAAACCTTTCTCCATCTCGGCTTCCCCCCTCCTCTACCACCACCATCTCTAACCTGCCCACAGCTTCCACACTCATCTTCCTGCCAGCGTGGAAGTCCTTACCCTCCCCCAGGTCTCCAAGGTCAGCTCTGATTGGTCCTCTGTGTTCCCCTCCACTTACAAACTGTGCCACTGTTTCCCTGCCCTACCCCACTGTACCCCACTCTGCCATACAGTGTTTTGTACCCCCATGCTCTGCTCTGTCCAACTCTGCCCTGCTGTGTCTCTCCAGCTCCAGCTCCAGTGCAGCTTTTGACTGTGGAAACACCAAGATTGGATGCTTCTCAAGAACTTTGTTCATGCTGTTCTCTAGATCTCTCCATGACTACTTTTCCTCACCCTTTGCATCTGACATTTGTCCCTTCCAAGCTCATTCTTTATTGAAGAGCCCTTCCTTGTACTTAAACATAATTAGTCATTATCTCTAAATCCGTTAAGGAGAAGTGTCTGAAATGAAGGCTTTCCTGTGCAGTTTGGAACTGAGAGGAGAGAACTGGATCTTGAGATTTACAACACAGGCATCCTTTTTTTCTGACTCCAAAGGGGAACCTAATTAAATTACTTAGGTATAGTTACCTAGTCGCTTGCAAGCAGCAAAGGCATTCTCCCCACCCATTTAGGTCAGAATGAATACCTCTAAAAAACAAGATATGATCCATTGTGAAGCAAACATTAAAAAAAAATTATGGTGCATTAACAAAAGCCTAGGGTGGGTTAGCCATACAGTTAACCAAACCTGAATATATTCAGTCATGTAGAATAGGCCTTTCTTGACAGAAGTGCTAAAATGAAGGGCAAACTTGAATAGTAATCAATAAAAAAAAAAATCAAATACTGAGAAGAAGGACATTTTCTAGTCTTAAAGGAGCAACTCTAGTTTAGGAACAAAGTATAGTTAAGAAATCTAAAACGTAGGCCCTCCCTGGTGGTGTAAGGGGTTAAAGCCAAGCACTGCAAGCTATCTGCAGCCACTTCAATGTGAGTTCCATCCCAGCCCCATGGCACAGCAGACCTCTCCTGTCTTCCCCGCTGCTCCCCTCAGCAGTGTACTCTGTCAATTTGCCTGTTCTGCTCCCCACTCTGTCTCTGGTGAATCCTCTCACTGCCCCTGTATCTCTGGCCTCTACCCCAGTTCTGTATGCATAAATAAATAAATGTTTAAAAAAAAAAAAAGAAATCTGAATCGTAAAAGAAAGTCAGGTTCTCAGAGTCCTCCAGATACTTTTAGTGGGAGACCAGACAGATGGCGTTTGAAAGAATCATGAGGCAGAACAGAAGAAAGGGTAGTGGGAGAGAGAGAGAAAAGAGGGAAGCAATAATAGACATCAAGTATTATTGGGTCCTTCAAGGCCTAATCAGAGACCTAGCATCCCTCTTTAGGTGGTTGTAGATGGTGCTGGAAAAAGGAATAGTTTCTGTTGACTATTAGGTAGTTACAAAAGGGGGCCAGCGGGTGGGGGATCATTGGTGAGAGGCCAGCTGATTTCATTAGATAGACCACTTCTTTGTCTAGAAAAAGAGGATTTCTTTCCCTGTGATTTTCATTACTGTTCCAATCTCTTAGTGACCATTTAATGAAGTTGTATTTGTATTTTTTGATGGGAGCTGTGTTTTATCTCCTGGAGTGTAGAGTAGATTAGGAATGAAGATACTATATCCTGCTTAAAAGCTCTAAAGCCTTTGAAGGAAAAAAAATGCAACCAGTCCTTCTAACTTGCTCCCTGGTTTTGCTGTTTGTTTGCAGTCTGCCACGAGTCATGTGCAGCCTGTTGGGGTCCCACGGAGAATCACTGTCTGGCCTGCAGAGACCCCCTCCAGGTGCTGAGAGAGGGCAGGTGTGTGGGCAGCTGTGGCGATGGGTTTTACAACGAGCAAGGGACCTGTAGAGGTAAGTGCCTCAGCATTGCTTGTTTTATGTCAACCATCGCACTGCTGACTGACACTTCTTATACTTAGGAAATATGGGAATAACTGTAGCTGTCAGCAATCACATTGTCTTCGTAGTTTACAAAACATGTTCTCTTGTCACCAGCGGGGTTCCCTTTAACAGCCCTGTCCCCTGACCACTTGTTAGGTTGTGATCCTCATTCTGACTTGATGCTGCAGATGAAGACAGCGAGACTCAGGCCACCAGCTCAGACTCAGAGCTTCACAGGAAGGGCAGGGCTTCCTTTCCAAAGGCTTCAGGACCTCTAGCCTGCCTTCCCAGTTTCTTCGAGACGAAGATGCTCAACCGGCATTTAGAGTTGGTGTACTGCCTCAAAGCCCAGGCACTGATGGATTGCTCTACTTTTCATACCCTCTGTGGACAGTAAGAGTTCACGTCGTGACTCCTTGTGCCAGGCTCTCATCCCACTGCTTTAGAAACAGGAACCATGGAGAGGCAGGAAGTAAAGGGGGAAAGTTAACTTCCACTGAGGGTCAGTTTTCCCTTGTGAATAGGCTGCCTTAGATGGGGAGTGTTTTCTGGTGTCTGTTCAGGGTCTGGGAATGAAAAAAAGGCATCCTGAATTATCCCACTGGGCCCCTATAATCTCAGGGTCCTTGTTTAGGGAGGCAGGACAGGTGCAGCCAGAAAAGGAGCTGAGAAGGAAGCAGGAAGGAGACCTGCACCCACACATGGCCTCCCGCCGTGGGGAAGACAAGACTATGACCCCGTCCTCATAGCTCCCAGAAGGCAGGCACCATGGCTCACACCTTGATTTTAAGATTTCTGATCTTTAGGGATGTAAGGTGATGTGTTGGTTTGGTCCACTGAGTTTGTGGTAATTTGTGACAGTAGCAACACCCAGATCAGAAGACTATTCAGAGTATGATCTATGCGAGGCAGTTAGCCCCGTGTCTGGAACAGAGTATTGCTCGGTGTTTGGTGTGTAATCCTCGCAATGATGTCATACAGTAGTTATTATCATCAACATTTTCCAGATGAAGAAACAGATTAAGAAACTTGTCTAAAGTTACAGTGTGAATAAGGGGCAGAATTGGGAGTCAAGCCTAGGACTTTATTTTTCCTAACCCTTCCTCTGCTCCCCATGATGTGTTACCCTAATGCAACTCAACCTTTCCTTGTCTTCTCCTCTCATTACCCTCCCTGCAGCTCTTTGGGTCCCTCCTGCTTCTGTCTTCCTGTCAACCTTTACAGCAGACATTTGCAGGTCCACAGGTAGCCATTGACGGTGAATGAAAAGTTGGAATTGAGTTTGCTGTGGTCATACCTGTACAAAATCCATGATGATTTTTTTTTTTTTTAATAACTGAGTCCACTAAATCAATAAAAGGTACAGCCCATAAAGCTTTCTTGAGTTATTGTCCTTGTTTTGTTTACTGAACAGGGCAACAGCAAAAATGAGATGATCTTTGGGACTTGACAATTCCACTTATCTTTGGGAAGAGAGATAGCCCTTGGCAGCTGCTTGCTTAAAGCTGGGCAGAGATCCATCAGCAACGCTGGTGTAAAAATTCTCGCTTGATGTGGATGAGTCACAGGTGGCTTTTGTGTGGCTCTGGGAGAGAGCAAGGGGAAAAAAGGCCAGGCTGCCATTAGCTGGAACAATTTAATCTTTATATGCCAACATCACTTTCTTGCTCAATTAAGCCAGATGTAGTCTTTAAAGGTCAGCAGATGTCACATTTGTACTAATTCAAAGGCCTAAAGGCATTTAGTCCCCTTTTGTGTCCCCAAGGAGGATGGGGACTGTCACTGAGGAGGAGTGGTGACACTGACCTGCTGCTGACATGGTTTTATCTGCCTTGAAAAAGCAGCTTTTTTGCAGAGTAGTTTCTCAATATTGTTTCATTCAACATCTCCTTTTTCTTCTACAGAGAGCATTAGTTTACAATATTGTATGTGATTAGAGGTGTAGGGCAGTATGTTACCACATCCCACACACCGCCATGGCACCCACAGTCCTCCTCCACAAGTCACTGTGCCCCTCCCCCTGTTCCTCTCCTGCTTCCCTGTCCTCTGGTAGTCTTGTGCCACAGTCAAGCATCTAGGATTTGTTTTGGTTTGGCTTTGTGTGACCTTTTGTTTTGTTTCTCTGTATTTCATATACAAGTGAAACCATCCATTATTTGTCTGTCTTCTTCTGACTTATTTTTCTTAGCACAATCCTCAGTCCCCTCCAGTTTCACTCATGTTGTTACAAAATGGCAAGAGTTCACTTTTTTTTAAATAGCTGAGTAGTATTCCATGCGATATGTATAGACCATCTTCCTAATCCATTCAGCTGTCCTTGGACACTTAGATTGTTTTCATGTCTTGGTTTTTGTAAGCAGTACTGCAGCCAACATAGGAGTGCTTCTGTCCCTTCCGATGCATGTTTTTGCATTCTTTGGGTATATATCCAGGTGTGGCATTGCCAGATTGCATGGTAGATCTATTTTTAATATTTTTAGAAACCTCCATACTGTTTCCCAAGAGGCTGAATCAGTCCACATATCCACCAATAATGTAAGAAGGGCTTCTTTTTTCCATCCCCTTCCCAACACTTGCTATTTCTGGTATTTTTGATGTGGGCCATCCTTACATGTATGAGATGGTGACTGATTGTGGTTTTAATATGCATTTCCTTGATGATAAGTGATGATGAGCATTTTCTTGTGTGCCTGTTGGCCATCTGTATACCTCTTTTGGACAGTGTATATTTAGCCTTTCAGTCCATTTTTTTTTTTTGAGTTATGTATTTATTGTTGAGTCATGAGTTCTTTGTATCCCTTGTCAGATACATGGTGCATGAACATTTTCCTCATTCCTTAAGACTTCTTTTCATTTTAATGTTAGGTTTTTTTCTTTTTTTTGCGCTTTATATGATATTTTTAGTTTTATATAGTCCTATTTTCTTATTTGTGCTTTTGTTTCCTGTGCTACTGGAGTTGAGTCCCGCAAAGGCAGTGGTGAAGCCAGTGTCATGGAGTATTATTGCCTGTTTTTTTCTATGTATTTTATGTTTTCAGGTTTTACATTCAAATCTTTAATTATTATAATATTAAAGAGAAAAAAAATACAAACTCTCCTAATGTCAAATGAAATTACATCATTTGAGACTTGCTTTTGGTGTGTGTGTATATATAGACACACATACATATATATGTGTGTGTGTGTATACATATACAGCTTTCAAGAATCTATCAAGAATGTTAAATGTTGACTTACTTATTTAGAAGGAAGAAGGGTCAGTGTGAGCATGGAGGTGGTGAAAGCTGAGTCTCTACTTGGGCTGAGAGATGGAATGAAGAATGTTAGGGGCCTATGCATACTGGGAGAATAAAAAATGACAGCCATAAAATACATAGAAAAAAACTGGCAATAATACTCCATGACACTGGCTTCACCATTGCCTTTGGGGACCCAACTCCAGTAGCACAGAAACAAAAGCACAAATAAGCAAATAGGACTATAGGTGACTTTGGTAGAGAGCACACATTTGAAATGCCAGCTGTACACATCCTAAAACAGAGCATCAGAAAGAAAACCTCTAAGAGAGGAAAGACCATTGCTGGCAATCAGCCAGCCATCAATTGATCAACCACTAATTACTAAATGCCTGCCATGTTCTTCACATGGTGCAAGATTTTGTAATGCTACTGGCCTGATTGACATGATTGGAGTTTGCATTTTCATAAAATTGTTAAATTTCTTTTCAGTCTGTGTCAAATGCCTTCACAGATGTCTGTATAAATATTTTCTAAAACAACAGTGAACCAAGTCACTGATTGGTATCAGAATGTTAATTAAGACGTCTGATGCTGATAATGCTGACTTATTTTCAATTCAGATCAGTGAATTGTTCAAGATAAAGACTGATTTGTGTGGGTTTAATAATTTATTAACCAAACAGCCTATATCTGTAGAAATCTCAAAGTCAATTGCTGAGAAAAATCCAGCATAACCTGTTATAAACTGTGGTATGTCCTGACTGAAAGAATTTACAGCAATCAAGTTCTTCTGTGGTACGTGCTTTGCATTTTACAAATATTAGAAATAAAGGGTGGAGAAATTCAAAGGACAAAACCTCCTCATTCTTTAGTCTTAAATACTCATGCTATTATGCAGAGTTTTTTTCCTGACCCTAGCTAACATAATAAATCAAAGTGAGTTCTGTTAACCTGTCTTTCTATTCTTCCTTTCTTCTTTTCTCTCTCTTTTCTTTCTTCCTTTTAACCTAATTACCCTTCCTCACCTTTACTTTTTATATTGAAATATAGTTGACAGGTAACATATTACTTTCAGATGTGCAACATAATGCTTTAATAGTTGTATGCAAAATAATCAACATAAGTCTAGTTAACATCCATCACCATACTTACAAGACATTTTTTTTTTCCTCTAAGAGCTCTTAAGATCTCACTGTCTTAGCAACTTTCAGTATACAGTACAGTATTGCTAACTATAATTACCACATTTAATTTATTTATTACATAGATGGAATTTTGTGCCTTTTGACCCTGTTTATCTGTTTCTACTACCCACCTCTGACCACCACCAACTTGTTCTTCTGTATCAACGAGTTTAATATTTTTTAAGATAATGCCAAGAGCAGGATCATATAGTATTTGTCTTTATCTGGGTGATTTATTTATTTATTAAAGATATTAAAGCATAATATGTTATTATGCTTTAATAATATATTATGCTTTAATAATATCTTTAATATCCATCCATGTTTCCACATGTGGCAAAATTTCATTATTTTTCATGACCAAACAATATTCCAGTATTCATCTACTGATGATTATTTAGGATGATGATTATTTAGGATGCTTCCTTTTCTTGGCTATTGAAAATCATGCTTCAGTGAACACATATTTTTTCAAGTTTGTGTTTTCATTTTATTTAAATAAATATACAGAAGTAGAATATTTTAATTTTGTATCTTTGGGGTTTGTTCAGGGTCTATGTAAATTGTATGTTGTTGTTTTGAGTATATAGTATATCTAGGCAGAAACATATAATTTTCTTGAAGATATTATGTTATAGAGTTCACGTTCTCTCCTTTTTTCAACCAGCAATATTCTGTGTTGCCCTATCATCTACTCATTGCTCTTGCTGCTTCATGGTGCTCCCTGGTCTGCATTTATCATACTACATCAGCTTTCATAGTGACAGACTTCTTTGATTCCACCCATCCACATGGCATCACTAGAAAACACTAGCAAACAACAGCCTTGAATGTATTTGGTCTATGAGCCTGAATGTGTGGTTCCTTGAGATCAGTAACCCAGGAGCAGAATTGTTGGTTTCTTGACTTTGCATATTCTTTGATTGTTGACAAACATTGACACTTCCAAACACAAGGGTTCTTTCATCTCCATATTCTTACCAACATTTGGTATTATCAGTTTTGGAATGGTTTTCTGGTGAATGGCCAGACAGGCCTTTGCCCTGAGCTCTAGAACTATAAATCAGGCTCTGCTGAACTGTATGTATCCCACACTGAGTCCATCACAATCTCCACAGCTCTTCTCCTTCTTGTATTCTGTGAATCCCATCACTCACACCCCAAGCTAGACCCTTGAAATCTGAGACACTTTCACCTACAAAACTTTCAAGTCATCCACTGCCTGAATTCAACCCCTAATCATTCTGACCTGTGACTTTTGCCAGTTTTCCAACTAGGCCCTCAACTCTCTTTCCCCAGCCTTCCAAACTACCATTTTAAGGGATCTTGTACCCAGTCATGGACTTGATTATATTGTATTTAAGACTTTTCAGAATCTCCTTGTCCTTTCACACATGAGAACCTACAGACTCTGTCATTCATGTTTTCATAATTTGGTCCTTCCTATTTCTCCAGATGAATAGAAGTGAAATTTCACTGGATGGCTGGAGCTTTTTGAACCTGTAAGTTGTAGGTGCCTTGTTACTTAGCTGGGAGGCCTTCTCATCAGTCTGTGACTCCCTTCCCAAGACAGTGCTTAAGGGTTGATTCATGCTTCTGTGAATCCTCTCCAGCCTCTCATATCACTTGTGCTATGTACATTTTTGGACTTTCCATTGTGACTTATAGACTTGCCTAAATGACATATTTAATATTTGTGGGCTTGTGTGTGCATTTCTCCCTCTATTAAATTAATAAACCCCTTAAAGGATTAAGATGACTTTGTTTTCATGTGTTTACCACCTGGCACAGTAGCTGACACAGGGTTTAAGATATGTTTTGGGGACTAAATGACAAAGTAAGTGAACAAGTAGACTGTGTAAAGTTCAACAATCTTAAAATAATTTTTATAGGATGACCTTACTTAGTTGAACTTGGTGTTCCTGAATTCTCTCTGTGACTAGGAGTGTAAAATATAAAATATAAAATGAGATATTTGAGACAAACTTAAACTGAAAAAGTATTCATTATTTATTTGAAATTCAGATTAACTGGGTATTTGATTTTTCTTTTTAAATTTGCTAAATCTGGCAACCTTACCTTCAAGGCTATTTTGTCTTTGAATTTCATGTTAATTGAATACACGTGGGTGTGCCCAAAGTACTTTTATACTAGCTCAATGAAAAATTCTTTGGCTTTCCATCAACTGTGAAAACAGGAAGTGCATAGTCCTCTGAAATGTACTCAAGGAAACAGAACCCAGCTGAGCAGTCGGAGAAAATAAGATTACTATGTTCCTACCACTATCAACATTGGAAAGAATAGATTCTCTATTCCTTTTGTTCACAACTGACTTTCTTTTGTGGGGTTTCCTTTCTTTTAGCTTGTGACCAATCATGTAAAAATTGTGGTCCCAAGAGTGCCAGGTGTCTTACCTGTGTTGAGAAGATGGTGTTGCATGATGGGGAATGTATTGCTGAATGCCCTGGTGGGTACTATGCTGATGCCACTGGCAGATGCAAAGGTAAGTCATAAATCATCATCATCATGACAAAGTATTTACCACATGTTTGACTAAGTGTCCTCAGTCATTTAGGAATTAGTATGTGAAATGGGAAAAGGTCAAATGAAAGGGAAACTTTTTCTGTAGAATCTATGGATAGTTTGGAAGTGGGAGATTGGGTAGAGGCGAAGGACTAGTGTGATTAATATAAATAAAAGATGTGTGTTAATCATCAATAGACATCTTTTGGAAATGTAGGTTTTTAAGATCGACATTCAGTCCTTATAAGCTTGTAACCATGACTAATGTAGGTTGTTGGTATGACAGAATCATCTCTTAAGTGGGTTTTATAAATGGTGTTTTGGCAACTCTAACACATCACAAAAATACAGTAAACCAAGTTTGATGACTTTTAAATTTGAAGTCTATCTTTTGAAAATTTGGTTTTATGTGCTATGGATGTATTGTTTGCTCCAGACATGTATAACCTAAGTTACAAAACATTACCATTTGAAGCTTTATAAGGTTCTACTCATGTTAATGTATCTTTGGTTTTTGTCTGTCCTTATAGGCAACTCTGGGAACTTTCTATTGCCTGGGATACGTTGATTGCACCTCCTTTCTGAAATATGCACACACAGTCTCATTTCCTTCCATGGTAGACAGAGACATATCAGTGGCCGGCTATTTTGACCTGCCCCACAACCTCTTCTTTTAAGTCTTTTCTTTGTCTGCCAAACTCTTCATTCACCCAACATTCAACTGCTTTCCTCAGCATTCTGCCTCCAAGGTCTCATCTTACCTCCACGCTCTTTCCCAGCTCCTAATCATTGTCCTCTGAGGCCTTATTTTCATATCTTACTCCTGCCCTAAGGATAGGCCAGATGGTATCATTGTCTGTTAGATCTGAGAATGTCCCACTGCTACCCTCTGAGGCCAAACAAGGGAAGATTCATGCCTTGCAGTGTCATACATACTGGTCAAGCTATTGAATATAATACTTAGAATCTTAGCATGGAGAGATCTTAAATGATCTAGTCCAACTTATAACTGAGCATATGTCAAGGAAACTAGGTCTACAGAGACCCAAATTTTCCAAATGCATCAATAAATTTCTACACAGGCAATTTAAGTTCCAGAGCCCTCAACTCTTAGACCCATGAACTTCTTACTTTCCCCTTTTTTGGATAGTGTGAGTTTGGGGTTCAGACAGACCTCAGTCAGTCCCAGCCCTGCTATTAATTACCTCTGTCAACTTCAGTAAATACTTTGATTTCTTAAGACCTCACTTTCTTCATCTGTAAAGTGTGACTAATGCCTCCCTCTTAATATTACTATAATGGTTAAAAGTGGCAATGAGGACAAGGAAGACACAATATAGACAATACATGAAGGGAGTTGTAGGTAGTAGGTAGAGCACAGGTAACAGATGGGTAAAGGGCATTGTTGCCAGTTCCGGATATATAACCATGTCTAAACTTCTTTCCTTGGTGTGGCTGACAGTTTGATGGGGGATGAGAGGGCTTTTCAGGGAAGGCTTCTTCCCATCAGGAGCCTCTACAGGAAGTGTGTTGTATGGTCACCTTAATCCCATTGTGTTTCCTTCTCACTGTCCCCTCAGTTTGTCATAACTCATGTGCCAGCTGCTCTGGACCCACGGCCTCTCACTGTACAGCCTGCCTCCATCCCCAGGCTCTGCACCAAGGCCACTGTCTGTCCAGCTGTGGAGAGAACTTCTACCCTGACCAGGGTGTCTGCAGAGGTATTAACAGTGTTGTGGTCATTCTAGATAGACTTTCCCAAATTACTTTTGTGAAATTTTTCCTCTAGTGTGTCTGTTTTAGCTGGGCATTTTATTTCATTAAAACATATCTGTGGGGCCCTCTCTGGTGGCGCAGAGGGTTAAAGCACAGCACTAAGAAGCTAAAGCACTTCAGCACTAGTTCGATCCCTGCCCTGGTGGTGATCCACATGGCGTGGCGACCTCTCCTGTCTCACCTGCTGCTTCCCTCAGCAGTGTACTCCATCCATTGGCTTGTTCAGCTCCCCACTCTGTCTCTGGTGAATCCTCTCACTGCCCCTGAACCTCTAGTCTGTACCCTGGTTCTTTATGCATAAGTAAATAAAAATCTTTTTTAAAATGCTTAAAATAAACATATCTGTGAAGGTTACCACAGAAATGAAAAATCTCTTCTAAGTGAAGGCACTTAGAAGTACATGATTTTTTCTGGTCTTTCTAGTCATTTCCATGATCTGACATTAAAACAAAATCAAACTCTCATTTTCTTTTTTTCCTAGAATTGTTAATGTTTTTCTTTGTCTTCATTTTGTTGTTCCCTGTAGGACTTCTGTTTGTTAATGACCCTGCTGAGTAAACTGAGAGTCACCAACAATGCCTCTGGGCTAAGTAAAATGGAAAATCTTAAATAACTGTTTGCCAAAAGGGCTTTGGGCTCCTTGGGAGGGCAGTGCCATTTGAGCCTTTGGAAATGAGAACATTGGGAGGAAACAGTTCAATTAAGTGAAATTAATTTACATTTATTTATACATTAGATACCTTGGCAAAAAAAAATTTAGAATAGTTAACAAGAAAAAGGCATTCATAGAAGGGCAATTGCAATAAATATTGTGAAATAAAATATATGCTGAAGAATAAGAGAGTTATTTGGATCAAAGTAGGCACATGAGGTAATTTGAGTGATCCATTTGGCTCTGATTTTTTTCTTCAAATTTATTTATTTATGCATACAGAGCTGGGGTACAGGCCAGAGGTGCAGGGGCAGTGAAAGGATTCACCAGAGACAGCATAGAAAAGCAGAACAGGCTGACTGATGAAGGACAGCACTTAGAGGAGCAGCATGTGGGTCAGGAGAGGTCTGCTGAGCCATGTGGATCACCTCTGGGGAGGGGATTGAACTCATGCTGAAGTGGCTTTAGCTTCTCAGTGCTGTGCTTTAACCCACTGCATCACCAGGGAGGGCCCTGGCTCTGACTTTACCAGGGTCCAGAGAAAACTATTAACTATGATGGACTGTCAAATTCTTGTTGTTGTTCAATAGTTCTCTGTGTAGCAAAGCAACCTTTCTTCACATAAATTCTGAAAGGAATTAACTTCCTGGACCCCTTGTAGTTGGCATACTGCACAGTAACACATCTTTACAAAAAATACAATAATTGTGTGTAAGAGTACTTCCTAAAATCTCCTATGAAAATGGAAGGACATGATGTTAAATTGTCATTCAGTGAATATGTTTCTCTCTAGAACCAAGCCAGTGGTCTTTTGGTTTTATTTAATTTTTTCATGATCTAGCTTGAGAACCCTTAGAAGACCTAGAAAAGGGGACAAGTTAACATTTCTGTATTTTGCCTCTCACATATTATCATCCTGTGCTTTGTACGGAACATTAGAGAAAAAGATTTTAAATGGATGCATGTGGTGGACTTTTCAAAGTCGTTTTGATTTATGCTGGACTCCTTTTTTTGTGGCATATATGTGATCCTTGGAATGTTTTTCTTCTTTCTCTTTATTCCCACTGGCAGCTTGTCATCCCTCTTGCCTGACCTGTGTGGGTGAAGCACCTTCTCACTGCACCCAGTGTAAGAAACCAGAGGAAGGACTACAAGTTAAGACACCTCCCTCTGGCGAGTGTCTATCCCAGTGTAGAGCCCAATTTTACTTGGAGAATACTGGACGGTGTGAAGGTGAGTAAACATGATTTGACTTCCCGACTTAGCATTTGGGAGATCCTGTGAGGTGAAACAAAGCAGGATGTTTGCTTGTAAGACAGAGGACCAGTGTACAAAAGAATGGCCCTACAGATGTCCTCCCTGGCATTGTGAGTAACAAATGAACTGCAGAACTAATTCCTTTTGCTTCACTGTTCCAAAAGTTATCTTGTTAGAAGTTCCAAGAATCCTTTCAGAGTAGCTAAGAAAAACCCAGAGCTCATAGTAAAACCCCACTTATTATTATTTCTATTAATTTGCTACTCTGAGTAATAATTAGTCTCTTCAGGATAAAATCTGAAAATTTAGATGTGATTCTTGCATTGGTGTGCCATTTATCAACAGAATTGATGCCACCCTCAATAATGATTTCTTAACCATATACATGTGAGTTTCTTTTGGATTCTGGAAGATAAGGATGGCACCTCTTTAATGCTACTACAAAACTGCCTTGGTGTTGGCTAAATTCTTCAACTATCTGAAAAAAAATTATTACTCTTATTTTTTGTAATTAATTGTAAGTATGACATTTTTATTAAAAAAAATTTTGAATGTAGGAAAAGCAGAAAGGTAACTTTCCCACCACCTAAATGAAATTACCGTTACCATTTTGTCATCATCTCTCTGAGTCTTTTTTCATAAGCGGAGTTAAAGTGTTAATTTTTACAATAGAACTGTAAGCATTTTGTAGATTTAGTTTTGTAACCTACAAGCCTACTTATTAAAGTACTCTGAGTTTGCTGTAGAATCCATCCACACCAGAAATGCTGCATTTCAAAGGTATGTTAAAGATTTTGTACCTGGTGAGGCCTATGGCCCAGTGGGAAGTGTGCAGAATTGCAATATAGAGATCCCAGACCAGACACGTAAGCTCTCTGAGCCTTCGTATTTACAGCTTTAGAAGAGGGTAATTATCATTCACATAGGCTTTTTACGGGGTGCAAAAGAGGTTAGGGATGTAAGGTACTTGGTAGATTGTAAAGTCTCCATTATCAGCTGGTATAAATCACAGTCCATGTATCTAGGCATTTAGGAGTAATATAGGGGTAACCTCCCTTCCCTGGAATGTCAGATGGCTCTGGGGATTGACAGAAGGTGCCCAGAAGTTAGGGGAAAGTCATTATTCTCCAGATGCATATCCTGGTTTCTTCCTTTATGGGCATTGATTAAACTCTGTGGCTCTATTTCTGTAAGCCCTTGTGAAATATGGGAATCTTTGCTATTCTTAAGATTCCTACTGGCTTAGTAAAACATATCAGTCTTCCACCCAGTGGTCTGACTACCTCCTGAATTCTGTCCCTGGAAGTTGGCGCATATCCTTTGTGAGACCCCAAGACTCTTGGTGGGAAGGTGGGTGGTGAAAAGTGTCTTTTCCTTTCTAACTTTTTCAAATCTTTTCAGTGGTTTTACCAAACAGGTTTCCTTGGCAAGCCCAAATCCCTTGAAGAAAATAATTACAGGTCTTAGCCCCCTGCTGGATATAAGGAAAGTACAAGGAGAAAATACAAAGAGCCAACAGAAATTTTTCTCTTTTTTTTTTTTTTAGAAAAACGTGTTGTTATAGAAATGATTTTTGACTTGTTGGAATCTTTGAAACCAGTCTGCATACTTTTACACAGCTGTGGACTGTGTGATCAGAGATATTAGAGAAAACCACAGGGGTATTAAACCTTCAGGAACTCTGACCTTTCAAAAAAAAACAGAGAGAGGTACTCTGAGACTGTGGCTTTTATAGTGCCAGGCTGAAACTCACGAGCTTTAGTAACCTGGAGCAGGTTTGCATGGTGGCTGTCAACTCTGCCTTACCTGCTCAGCAGCAACCTCAGGAGAAAACTTCCCTGGCCCCTCAGTGTAGTTAGGTTCTCCCCACAGTTTTGAATACTATATTGAAAGGAAATTAAGAATTTTGGAGTGGGAACAGAAAAACAAAGGAAAGATGGTAAATTTTTTAAAAACTAGAATTGTACTGGACTAAAAAGATGTGGTACAAGTATACATTGGAATATTACTCAGCAACCAAAAAAAAGAAACACATGTCTTTTGCAGCAACATGGATGGATCTGGAAAAGATCATGCTTAGTGAGATAAGCCAGAAAGAAAAAGAAAAATGCCGGATGGTTTCGCTCATAGCAGGAGTATAATGGACCAGACGAGAAAATAATAAGAATAATGAACAGCTGTATACCAGAGACATTTTGTGGAGTAGAATGGGGAATGGGATCAAAAATGGGGGAGGGGTGGGGAGGGAAGTGCACAGGACTATGGTGATGGCACATAGGTGACTCAGTGATGGAAAACCCACAGGGATTACAATGGAGATAAAAAAAAATGTACAAAATGATGTAAAAATAAACTATTACATTATTTAAAAAAAATTAGAATTGTAAATAACAATTAGAGTGACTGGGACACATAGCCAAAAATTTCTGTTATTGAGCGGGCATTAGGAGAGGTAACTTACTTGTTTTTTTTTCACCCAATTTTGACAGCAACCATATGGGACAACACTTGGAAAAGCTAAAACAGCTATGTTAGGGGAGAAGAAGCCGGGACTTGAGAAAAGTTAGGCTGTAATCTGCTCAAGGTCATGTGGCCATCACAGAGTAGAGATGAGCAGGAAAATAATCAACTGGCTGTAATGTTCATGCTCTTAGACAGGATAGCATCACCATCTCTGAGTGGACAGAAACAACACACTGTCTCTGCAAGATTGCATGCTTTATATTTAAGAAAGTATTCTTGACAAAAGGGAGTTATCTGGAAATTCCTTACTACAGACACCTCTTAGGAAGGCTTAGAATATAATTCCCCTGCAATGGCTTAATTGTGGTCTCATGTGAAAAGAACTAGATTAACTCCCAGATTCATTTGTAGCCCCATGATTTTAAGCTTGCTAGCTTAACATTGTTAGGTACCCCACATATAGCTGTCTATTCACATTTATTACCAAATCCCTGTGCAGTGTCTACTTGGTAGATTGCTGTACTCGATTTATAAGTGACGAGAATGTGGCAGAAAGAGGTTAATTGAGTTGCCTGAGATTCCGTTGGGAAACTGAGTGTAACCAACAATTGTTTCCAACCTTACCTGCACATTAAGTTGTTGATTGATGTATTTTCTGTCACTCATCCCATATCTCTGGGAACCTTCCTGCCATCACACAATCTGTTCCTTTTTCAATTCTGCCTAAGTGTTATTTATAAAATCAGGCCTGGGAGTCCTGTGAGATTGCATGGGCTGTCCTCAGCACTTCCAGATATACCCTTGCCTTTTTGCAGAACATTTAAAAAAATGAAGTTTCTCGTGTATGCGTGCCTGTGTGTGTGTGTGTTGTGTGTGTGTGTGTGTGTGCCTGTCATTGAGAGTATTTTATAGCACCTTTGATTTCAAGTGGTTTTCTCTTCAGAAGAGAAAAACAACTATTTTTCTGGAACTCTCTTACCTTTCTCTAAGACTGCAGTGTGGAGTGATTAGAATATTACTACAGCTAATGAAAGCAGGAGGCAGATGCTTTGCAGGAAGAAGCAATTTACTTTGAGTCTGAAGTTATCATAAAAGTTTCTACTCTGAGCTGCAAGATAAACCCAAGAATTATTGAGTAGAAGTTAAAGCAAAAACACTCCAAATAGACAAAAATCAAAGCCTATGATTGCAGGATAAAGAAATATAAAAATAACAAAAAGTGACCAAACAGAACATAGTTTATTAGTTGTCTGCGTTTATTCATTTCTTCCATATCTATGTAGTGAGTGTATTCTGGGTATCAGGTGTAATCTAGGCACTGGAGGTGTGCTCATGAGTTAGATGAAATTCCTGCTTCTGTGGCATTTATATTCTAGTGATAGAAACAGGTAATAAAGAAATAAATGAATAACAACATAAGCCCCTGATGTATACTTGGCCAGGGTGCCACGGTGTGGGGAGCAGGGTAAAGGGGAGAAGAACAGGTGCGCCGAGGTGGGTTCTGCAGCAAAGTGCTCTGGTAAGTGCTGCCTGCATGTGCCTGGCCTGTGTATTTGGCTCCTTCTCAAGATTAAATCTGAGAATGTCAAAGAAGGAGCTTTGGCAGTATGCTTCTTTTGCACATGACCTGTATGTCTCCAGAGTGTGATGGAATTATTGGGGCAAAAGGGGATCTATTAACTAATGCAAAAGATAATTTGGAGGTATTTTCAGGAGTCAGCCAAAATTGTGCATGTTTGCTAGATAGTAATATTTGGGGTGAGCAAAAAGAAAGATTTTACTAATTTTTATCCAAAATTGGTCCAAATTGTTTTATCATTCACTAGTATTGACAGAGTCAAGTTTAAAATAAATAAAAAGACAAAACTCAAGAAATACCCATTTGTCCCCTTACACAAACCAACTTACTACTTAATAGATAGTCCATAGCGTACAAACAAACATCAAGAAGCCTTCCTCACCTTTTCACCCATTTCCTCCCCTGGGATATTCCTTGATCTGAGTTGAGGTGAGTATAAATGTGATTCCCCGGGGCACAGTTGCTTTGCATGGCTCCAGGGGTGACATTCTCATTGTAATTTTTTTTTAAGATTTATTTATTTATGCATACAGAACTAGGGTACAGGCCAGAGGTGCAGGGGTGTTGAGAAGATACACAAGAGACAGAGTGGGGAGCAGAACAGGTCGACTGATGAAAAACACTGCTGAGGGGAGCAGTGGGCTGGTCAGGAGAGGTCTGCCGTGCCATGTGGGTCACTTCTGGGGCGGGGATTGAACTCATGGTGAAGTGGCTTTAGCTTCTTAATGCTGTGCTCTAACCTACTGTGCCACCAGGGAGGGCCCGAAAGTCAGTTATTTTGAAGACTAAGCTTTTAGTTGAATTTTCTCTAGAAGAGAGCTTCATATAGGAACCTCCTGGAAACCTTATAGAATGTGAATTCATATTTACTAGTCTGGGCTTGGGTCTGTCTCTGCTTTAATAACAAGCTCCCAGATGAGACTGATGCTCCTGG